GTGAACAGCGGGGGTGGACAACGCACGTCGACTTGCAGGCACCTATGTACATACAGATGGCACACTGTTGCTCACGCGCTGTGACCGCCGGCTAGTATTCTATCGTTTCATTCCAGGGCCTTCTAGAATTTCCCCCAGATCATACAAAAGCCTAGGGTACTTAAATTAGGCTTGAGACCGAGCATACTAGTAAGGAATCAATAAATTGCGTGGCTGGGTATGATGAAATCTGTATCCTTGCTCATGGTGGTTGCGAAGAGCACATGAAACGCGTCACCTTTTTGTCCGAATCGGGTAATGCCCTGATTCTCTCGGCCAGCTAAGCCAATTACGGGTACGACTTCCACAAACATCAACTTCGAGTTCTCGATCAATTCGCAATTCAACGTCATTGTTCGAACTGTTTATTTATTCAGTAGGCAATGATTTCAAGATACATTACCCTAGACCAAACCGCGGAGCTCAAATCAGCCTGGGCTAGACTGATCAGCAACCGAAGCCGGCAAGTTCAAACTGGTTCAAGTCCCATTCTAGAACAGGGTATATGAACTAAGCGTGTTATCACTGATTCAAACCAGTTGAGAAGAAGGGTTCAAGGCACTTCAGCTTTGATTCGGGACTGAATCACTCTGAACTGCGGAGGGTAGATTTGAGGGTGACACCTAACCCACTCCCGCGCCGAAGTAAACAGGTCACTAAATTGTCCGAAAAAGGAAACTACCATGATCAGTGGGAGTATCCTCCCAAAACGGAAATCACCCCAAAATAGCTTTCCCACACGACGAGCTCCGCCGTCAGTGAGTCAGTATGTTAGCAGCAGCCATCATGTCACTGAAATGGCGCTGACATTTGACTGTCGCACTCGTACGAGATGGGATGCCGAGTCTAATCATTGTTATCGATCTATAGACATACGAAGTGTGACGGGAGATGCATCTTGAATAAGTCAGCTGTCTTTCCAGAACAATCCTTACTGGCCGGGAAAGGCAAGGGCTCCCAAAACAAAAAAAAAAAAAAAAAAAAAAAAATTAACGCTGAACAAACCTCACTTTGTTTAGCGCTCTCGATATCGCAAAAAGCACAACCTCCTATTATCCCGGCCGCACCTATGATTTGAAGCTCACAACAAGGGGCCGATAGCTAACTAGTAGTAGAGTGTATGACGTCAGAAACGACGGACTTCTTCGCTTGATACGGAAGACATATAGGTTCACCCTTACTGTGCCGGCTGGAACCCTACCCCCCCCCCCCCGGTGGCCGACAATGCTGAGCAATTTCCTGGCACCCAATCAATTTCCGCCTCTTTTCTACAAAGCTCTCCTTCCAACCTATCTTCTATAGGATAATGAGCCTAGAATAGCTAATTGAGATGTTTAACGTGCATTCCCCCGCACCGAAAAGTGGGGTGAGCGAAAAAGTACACCAGGTACGTTCATTTTCTACAGCGCGCATTCGACAACTAACAGGCCAAAACAAATTTCCCAAACACAGCGGAAGTATCTATAAGCACCGCCCGAGCTAATGCAGTTATGAAATGTGAAGATTACCTGGGACCGGGGCCACTGTTAGCCAAGCTCTACGTGTCGTATTGTCCTGCATTAGCGGATGATCTTTGATTCTAATCACTCTACCACCCCAGCCCAAGAAAAGTAAAGCAGGGTTGATGGGCGGCTCCAGATCATCACCACATTAAGAATTAGATGATTTTCGTTGCTTGGGAATGAATGCTGTGTCTTGTATTCTGAACGCTCAAACGATACTTCAAAGAGCTCTAAGATACGACGGCGTACGAGTAAGTATTAAAGCACATTGTTATCCGGCCGTACAATTACCCTCGTAGCCAAAAATAGAATAATTGCGTGGAATGACATGGAATTCTGCCGAACCTGCTCGATTGCCCAGGAAGTCTTTTCACAGAAGGTAAGCCGAGTGTCGGCGTAGCGTTCAAACTCATCGATCGCCAGGTGGCGCTCTACGGGATGTCTGAGGTAAAGTTTCGCGTGCTGTATGGCAGCAGAACACGAGGACTGGGCCGAACATAAGTTCCAACACTTTCAAGTTCACGGGGGCGACGTACTCGAGCACACGGTCGGGTACCCCATCAATGGCCCGGACAACAGTCCGGGGACGGAGTCAACGAGTCCGCAGCGGGGAGATGTACTCGATGCACATCCTGAAGAGTCGTCATGCAATACACCTCCAGGGCGCTCTGCGGTGAAAGATTTGGCGATGAAGCTTGCGCTATGGTGATTGGAGAGCTGTCAATGAAACAAGCACATACCGTGCAGTACTCCGCCGCAGCAGATTTGTCAACGAAAGTTGACTCTAGTACGGAGAGCTTTCGCGACACAATCAAGCCAGCGTTGGGAGAGATGAACAGGAGGTTCTCGTAATCACAAGCATTCGCCTGGCTCTTCGTGTTTTCTGTCAATTGGGTTGACGAGAAGGGCAAGCCGTTCCAGTCAAACTTCTCGTAGGAGCGCTATACTTTGGTTAATCGGACGGGCTTTTTCTCACTGATCACCCTGGCCTCAATGATAGTTCAAACGCAATTTTGAGCAGAATGCTGATAGCAGTTGCTACAGCGGCACCTTGATGCCCGAGTGATTCGCAGCACACAAAAGATGCCAACGACTTGTGCGATTGGAGTGTGTCTCCTTTGACATGGCTAATTCTTTCCGTCTGAAATAAGGCTAGCCCCCTGCTGTCCTGAGGTGTTAACACGTTGGCATTTTTGTGCGCGAGAGACCAAGCCTCGGCGTAAATATCCCTTTCTCGAATCTAGCCGCGAGAATAGGACATACCATTGCAAGCGAGAACAACTTCGAAAGGTAACTCCCAGCTCAAATCTGTGACAAAGCCAACTTCCCTAGCTGTGATCACTGCCGACATAGAGGACAACTGCGGCCAGGACGTTCAAGCCACTTGAATATACAATCGGTATGGAAAAAGGTGGTGACATTTTAGTTCCATAATCTTTTCTTCCTTGGTGATCATCTCGGTACAAACAACACAGCTCTGGCCTATTTCCTTTTGGGTTGCTCCTCGAACTTTGCCAACACTTGGATGGTTGTTGGCGTACAAGCGCTTTAACTCGCATAGAGCAGGATGATTTGGAAAGGTATTGCTGATATAATTGAGAATTCCCATAGCCTCAGATAGACTTCTCTACTAGCTCACGATAGGCCGTCTTCAGCGGCCCGAAGGCGCTGACGTCGCATGGCTGGGTCTTGTGAGAGGTGTGAGACGGAAGTCGACACAAAATAATGTTGTTCTCATGACAAAATTGCAACACTTCAAGGGACTCGTGGGGCCCGAAACCGTCATTGATCAGGATGCGCGGTCGGCCATTGGCCCGTGCCTTGGTCTCGGGATCAAACACGGGACGATACCAGCAAGTTGTTGCTCGGCCCACCACAGAAGTCCCACGTCTCATCAAGGTGTCCAGGATAAATCGGTCGTTTCGCCCATCGCGTGTGATCTTCATGTACCTTGAACCATTCAATTCCACGATAGTCGGATCAAATCCGAGCTGCTCTTTATCCATCCAGAGAAACCCCAAGACCACCGAAATAAATCTCGCGCCGTCTTTGTTGATATGAAATAATGCCGAAGCAATCCCGCCAATACGATCAAACTCCCACAACCTCATGATCGTACCATAATCCTAGTAGCAAGGGCATGAACCTCTACGGTGCATCTGCAACACGCTGGCAGAGGTCTCCGCAAATCCACTCCTGTGTTGATCCTTGCACGGCGGGAACCTTGCGTCCCATCCATCTAACCTCGGTCCCCTTGGGCAAGCAATTCGGCCGCGATAACTCCAAAGGACCAAGTGTCGACTGCGTTGGTATAAGCCAGATCCTACTTCCAGAACTAGGTCCTCTCCTCTCCTCTCGACTCCTTCTTTCTTAGCTCTGTTAAGCTCATGCTCTCCTTTATATTATGATGGTCATGTCGAGAATCATCTCAACCCCATATCTCGAGGCTGTAGGCAACCGAATACCAAGTCCGCGAAGCCATTTCCCATCAGAGCGTTGTAGCCTCTCCTTACCAACGAGAAATTATCAGCAGGTACCATGGCTTGAAGTCGACTGGATGGCCCTTTCATCTGTATATTTCTTCGCTCGATGGTGGGTGTTCCAGGTCAAAAAGCCGGAATCCCGGCATCGAAAGCGATCTTGTGCGCGTGATCATGGAATGGCGATGATATTTTTGAAGTGATCTCCTTGACTTGGTGATGCCATCTTGTCTCACTAGTTTAATAGTACTATTCCGTCTCCCTTGTTTGATTGTGTTGTCATTCACTTCTCTTGTTAACTGCGCAACAACCGAACCGCGTTTCGCGCTTTTCTTCGGTGCGTTCTGTTCGGGTGTTGGAGATCGGCTTGACGGAGGTGTTGGTGTTATCGATTTAGGGGAGCGTAGAGTCTGGTCACGGAAGTATTTTCGATAATAAAGGCGGGTAGAGGAAAGTTGATCGTCGGGCGTAAGGCTTCTTCGGATGGAAAGAGCCTTCCGAGGGGTTGACCCATCCTGCAGCATCAAAAGCTGCTCAGTCGCACCTTCGACTACCGCCTCCGCAATGGCAGAGCAAAGTCGGAGATCGATATTCATCTACCTCTGCTATGGAAGTGTGGTTAAGTGAGAAAAGAAACAAAACATGAGCAGCTCGCACGGAAACCGCACCCCTCAGTTTTCGCCAAGCATTGCCTAGCCCTTCCGGGAAGTGCCGTAACGCCAGCTACCCTGGTCCCTTGTACTCGCGCTGTTGTCTCTTCGGCGTTTAGGTTCGTCTTCAGAAGCCCTTTCCCACGACCCCCTTTTCCATCTATCTGAAACACTGCCGCGCATAAATGGCGGCATCATTGCATAATCGTCCGTCTTCACAGGCCAACCATTTGTCATTCTTTCGATGCCCATCCGACAGAATATATTTGGCCCAAGGTCTCTTTTGGGGCAAGCTATGGCCTCGTTAGGATAACCGCCCCAGGGTAACCACCGTGAATGCCTTTCATGAAACGCTCTTACAATCCAGGGAAGTCTTTGGTGGTGTCTTACACTTAAGCCGAACTTAAAAGAGTCGAATAATCCCATTAACTACATCCTTTTCACAACTCATCAGCATAGGATCGTTATGGGACCTCCGGGTGATGTGGACAAGGCATCTCTTAAAGACACTATTCGACTCGATGATACCAATGACACCATTCGACTCGACGATACCAACGACACCATTCGACTCGACGATACCAACGACACCATTCGACTCGACGATACCCCTGATAGCACTCGGCAACTCGACGATATACATGATCCCGCTCGACAACTCAACGATACCATTCGGGTCGAAAATCGCCCCGATAGCTCGGTCGTTCCAGTCACTTGGTCACTCCCACCAACGAGCTCAGACTTTGCCCGACTTGTGCCAGTCAATCATCAAGCGAAGATAGCGTTTCACGAAATTGCAACCATTCTGAAAACAGACGGCTGTTGGAATCCCCACTGCCGGAAGTTTATCCATGTTTCCGATGTCAAAAGCAAGGTCATTTCTGGGCGCTCGAAAGAGAGCGATACCTCTGATGGTGATACTGAAACACAAGAGATCTATACCGGCTATTTTCGCCTGAACCTTAGCATACTGCCGGACAAATTTCCCCAGGGTTGGATAATTGGAGCTGGCCGCTCAGGTATGGACCACCTTGGAGTGGACTTCCTCCTAACAATCAAGGGTAATCGGGACCGTGTACGAGGACGCCACGCAAGTATCAAGCACCATAAGGTCAGCCGACATCTTATGATCGCGCCGGCGCCTGGGAAGGGGGCGGTGCTTAATGGTGAAGAGGTCCCTACGGACGGGAGAGTGCTTGAGAGTGTGCGTATGGGTCTAACAATTGGCAACCTCACTTTCAAAATAGAATTTTTACCCACAAATGTCGCTACTTACAACGAACAGCTCGACGAAATTGTACGGGAAAGTGGAACGTGGTTTACAGAAAGGATTGAATCGATCGATCCTACCCCATCGGACAACCACCTTATACTCCAGGGTTATCAGATCCAAACTCCACAAGCATTTGGAGCGTATGGAGTTGTAAGCCCATGCGTTAATACCTCCTCTGGGAACGTTTATGCGGTGAAACGGATCCAACGAACGCAATCCTCTTTCGACCAAATTGGAGACGAGATCGCGATCCTCAAGCTCTTAGAGAAACATGTAAGTAAAACAGCCTGTTAGTTGTTCTATACTAATATTTCTGGTCGAAGCCTCATATATGCGCCCTGACTGAAGTCATCTACTCAGACGGCGACGATAGCTCCATGGGGAACAGAAGGATTAACGATGTATATATGATTTTCGAACCCTGGGCTCCTAGGACCCTCCATGCATTGATGGCGTCGCAAGTGAGCCCTTCTATACGTTGGAGGGCCTTCCACCAGGGCGCTCAAGGTATTCGATACTTCCACTCTTTCGGCGTTATTCATCGGGACCTCAAGTTTGGTAATATTCTCGTTGTCCAACTCGATCCACTACGTGTGGTCATTACTGATTTTGGCCACGCTACGACCTTTACAAACTCCCAGGACCACATGAAAGGCACAATCAGCTACCTCCCTCCTGAAATAATCGAGCTGAAAGAAAAGTCGAACGACCCGAAGCGTACCCCACCAGACCCAGCCTTACGTTGGTCGTGCAAGTCCGATGTCTACAGCTATGGCCTAGTCGGATGGGCTTTGCGTCATGGATATTTCAAGCGTCCAGTAGACGGCATCGACAAGATCGTGCACAAAGGTCTTCTAGCAACTCTTCAAAATTCCAGGACGGCCGCGGATGAAGTTTTGGAAGATATGCTGGCATGGGATTCCGACTCGAGACTAGAAATGCGCGAAGTCCTGCTGAAACCGTGCTGGTCCGAGCCCGAAACACCGTGCATTGAGAAAAAAAGAATTTTCCCCGGATAATGAACGGTTCACTCGGATATACAACTTGCAGGAGAGGCGGTCTCCGATCCCTTTAGAGACGTAGTCTCTGCGTCAGGCGATCGGTTACTCGGCGAGGACAATCTCGGTCTCAATCATTTAGCACTTCTGCTAATCTGTTTGCTTCTAGTTAGTCAAGATCTTTCTCTTCAAATTATACCATTCTTCTCTGTTGACGGATGTAATGGGAGCGGCAGGCGCGGTGGCATTGCAAGTAGCGGCAGAGCTCGCTGTGGCTGCAGCAACTTCCAATTCGCTGTGACTGTGCGAGTCCGAACACACCCTATTCCATGGGGTGGCGCTTTCTTGACGAACGCACCTGCGTAGGTTCTACTCGGGCTCTCCTTCACTCTGTTAAACTCATGTTACAAGTATTGTCCAATCGCAGCATGTCCCCTTAGCATTGTCAGATGAAGTCGAAGTTCGAGCAATATGCTGGGAAAACTTGGTGTCTTGAAAACAACCAGGTAACGACTCATCATCTCATCGTTCACTACGCTGAGATCATCACATGATTTCTCTCTCGCGCTCATGCCTCGTGCATCTTCTTCCTTTTCAACGGGACTAGGCCAATCGCTGTTACATGCAGCCCGGAAACTCAATTGACAAGAGGATCAAAAGTTGCACTGGGTATCGGTACGAAGACCGTCGGTGTCTTTTGCGTCTCTGTTTGCCTACGACCACATGGAGTGGAAGGTTTATTTACGAGGTGCCCATCCCATTCTTGACCCATATCCTGACAGACGCAGTAGCTCGCCCTTTCATGCTCTCCAAGTCCTCGTCAATGAGCGACCATATGCTTCCCTCGGCCAAAGACATCCAATACCCCAAGGACATCCAGATGATTTTGAAGCTCCGCTGTGACCAAATCGCCTGAGAAGGAGGGTTACTTTGATATTGACGCGCACAATATCCCACGACTCGTCAAATTCCTTTCTTCGAGAGAACACCGGCGACTGTGGCTCCGTGTTCATCATCTTTTCTCTTATGCGGAAAATCAAAGAGTACCGTCCTCGAAAGCCACGGTAAGCCGTAGTTAGATTAACTAAGAATGACAGAGATGTCGCATCTCAGTTCGCAGTTTAATGACTCGAGTAGATTTGATGCGTTTTCGACTTTTTGTGAAATTCTCTGCAAACAAGACTGAAAATAGTCTCCTGTCGATGTCAACTTCTGTATTTCCTGTCGAAGTTGTTCGGTCTCTCGATCCTTTCGATCTACTTCCTCTTGAGCATTTGTGGCCTGGTCGCGCAGTAATAGCACCTCTTTGGCGAGCATTTGGTTTTCAGCTTCCAATTGCTCAGTTAAAAGACTAGGTCCCGGCTCTGGGTCTGACGACCGTGGGCGCTACAGACATATAATAGACGGTGCTTTGCCAGACTTCATCATCGCTCGTTGCCCATTTGTCAAGCCCTCCAGATTCATCTTGTGCTACGGCTTTAATAGACTTTTTAACTTCGATCTCCCGACATAGAGCCTTATAGGCCCCAATCGATTGATCGCTCATATTTTTAGTAAATAGTTTTTGAAGACGTGGAGGATATTTCCAACGGTATGGATCGTTGATCGTTGGAACCAGGCGAACTTGTGACGGCTCTATGTGCAGTCCTAGCTTTTGTTCTGCAATTATTAGAAGCCTTTCAGATTATAACTAGCATCTGATCTCACCGAGATGGTTTGATAACACGCAACGGCATTTGCTTCTCCATCTTGCGCGGTCTTCATTATTCCGACGAGCGGGCATCCCCGGAAAGGCGACAGCGAATCGAGTTAATTCTCAGTCTCATGAGAACCTTTGTGCTTCGACACTATACAGTAAACTAGCTACATTATATTGCAATTTACAATATAGGGGGAACAAAGGTGGAAGGGGGATCAGAATTGGATCTCATCTTTTCTCTACATGAGAGCCCAAATCGGAGCCCGAGAGAACAAAGGGGACCCGAAAAGGCTGCTCGACTTTTACCTCAATGTCCACATCTTCTTGCTACACACACACACAATTTATTACGCCCGGCGCCAAAGCCGAAAGGGCAAGCTCAAGCTAAACTACTAATACAATTCTCAAGATATAACCTAACGTGCATCCCCGCGCAATGAAATGCCCTAGGTATGGACCCGCTTTGACTTTGCACGCCTCTCTATCCACCGCCACCACGAAATCTGCGCAGCAAAGGATGTAAAGCGATCACATAGACATCGAATTGCCCATACACCTCTTCTCTGCGAAAAATTACCACCGCTGGTGGGTCGTTACTCGCAGCGAAACGCCGCCGGCTTTGGGCTCTCCGCCACGCCGGCGCCGCCGCTGAAGTGACATCTCAGGCTGCCCTGGGCTGAAGTGTATTCGTGGACGGCGCCGCCTCTGCTCTCGCGCCCTGCACACGTCCGGTGGGGTCTTGCCACGTTGTTCGTGCGCACGGCGCTGCAGCGCTCGTCGCGTAAGAGATCGCGATGCACGGAAGTGGACACGCGGTACGAATCCGCGAACCGTTGACACGGCTTGGCAGGAACGTCATGACAAAGGTCGTGACGGTAATTCAATGTAATCGACTGCGTCTCGACACCATTATATACTACGATTGAACGGAATTGGGGAGCTGTCATTTGAATAGAGTCCAATGCTGTGCCGTACTGAACTGACTCATCTGTCTTGCCTATGCGCCACAGTACTGAGGCGGTGCGCTTCACGCCACATGTTCCAGCCTCCGTCCTCGCGCCTGCGGCCCTCCACAGAGGCGTCACGGCTGCCTTGCGCCGGCCAGCTGCGAGGCTCGATACATACAAGTACATATTTCAGCCTGATCGGACATACTTCTCCATGGCTGGGTCCCAGCCAGGCCCCGCTGTGACTGAATGACACTATGGGGTCATACGTTACAGATGGTAAAAAGGTACCTCAAATGACTCAATTCTAGAGTCATTTGAGCCGTAGTAATACTTTATGTCACACCGTGACTACCAAGAAAACACGTGTAAGGCTCTACCACAGCCTTGCCATGACTCAGCCACGTGACAATCCCACCGTCGAACCCCTTGCAGTCCTCAAATCCCTTGCATCCCACTATTGAAAGCCCTTACATCCTCCTTACACTGCGATGTAACAGTCAAAGAGCCTAGATGTCAGGAAGAGGTCTACAGTCCCTTGGGGATCGCCCAAAAAGACTAAGAAATCCTGTCATTCCATGACAGAATCTTGGACCTCTAAGCTATATTCCTGTCAGAATCCCATTCATGACAAAGGGAGTCAGGAGAATCTCGGGCGTTGGCTCAGGGTATGGTAATTCTCACCTGATTATCATTGCATGAATATCCTGACCTCCTGATAGCTCTATTTTACTTGTATATTTGAAGGCATGGCGCTACCTGGACCGGGGCCGCCAGTCTTTGGATTCGTAAATTGTTTGCCATTCTGATACCATATTCCATTTGTGCGGTGGTTAGGGCAATTACCCTGCCTTGCAAAAAACATCCCTTGTGAGATTATGCCACTGTTACTTATCACTGTACCATCACCTCTAGAACAAACTTTCACATACAAGGTATCACAATATCTCATGGATTTCGTCCACATAGATGGCACAAGCGTGCGGGGTGAAATCCTGGGAGTAGGCGGTTCAGGGTTAATCATTCGGCATGGGCAGTTCGCTGACAAAATCCCACGACTCTCGCTGAAAATTGACGTGCCGAGCGGAAGACTGACGCCCGAGGAAGGTGATTTCGACATGCGTCGGTGTAGGATTGAACAGATGATGCGGGAGAAGGCAATCTATCGCAGACTTGGTGCTTATCCTGGAGTCGTTCCTTGCTTCAAGCTTGAGACACCTGAGCCGTTGATTCGAATGGCTTATATGGGGAATGGCAACCTTCGCGAATACCTAGCCAGAGAAAGGCCGAACAAGAAAACACAACTATCTTGGTTAACGGATATGGCGCACACCCTCGAACATATTCACACATGTCGCATCATTGTCGCCGACATCCGATCAGAGAACCTTCTACTCGACGAGAATTTATCTATCAAGTTCGCCGACTTTGGAGAATCTAGTTTAATGCCTCTCGATTGGGATATGAAGGAACCAGATGAAGATGGAGAATCTGTCTCGACCGATATCGGAAAATTTGGTGCAGTGATGTATGAGATTTTAACAGGCCAACGTTGCAAATTTGATCTCATGCAAAACTGGAAGAAACCTGGAGACCTGCTTACTTGGCCCATAAGAGAGAGCCTCCCTTCAACAGACAACTTATGGTTGGGCCACATTATTGAAGCCTGCTGGACCAAGTCTTTCGCATCAGCTCACGAGCTTGCAGCGGCTTTGGAGACACAAGATGTCGTTTCGAGAGAATCCAACCTTGCTTTCGAACTGACTTACCCGACGGCAGGACCAATAGAGTCCAATACGGTGGCACGGTTGGTGTAACCACTCGGCGAGCATGCAAAATGCCACCCCGAGGTTGGGTGGGTGGTCCAAGCACTGCGATGGGTGGATGACGGCCAGATGATGAGTGGAGAAAGGGACCTCCCATCTGCCGAGATGTATTCCCCCGCGGTCACTAACGTCCGATTTATTAGGCTGGGGGGATGGCTGAGGGTAGCCGTCCACATTCCGATGGTGCTTAGTATGATATTAGACGTTGCCGGAAGTTTTGCAGGTTGTACGCCTGGGAAGGTGTTGGCAACCGATTGGTAGAGACGTCACGGTCACGATAGTAAGAGACTAGGCAATATATGACGCCGTCGGCTTTGACCTCCTTCATCTTCTTGGTCAGTTCGTCTCCATTAGAGCAGCAGGAGGAATCTCTCGACATGGGTATCTGTTGAGAAGACTGAGAAATCTCTTTACGGAAGAAGAAAGTCTCGTCTGTCCAGACCTCCCCCCAAGACCGTCCGTCGCTCCACGCGGACGTATCCTGCTCCGTTTTCCGGATATAGATAAAGACGGAGCCGCTCTCGATCGTCAAGCACCCTTGTGTTTCCTCGGAGAGGGTCCCGGCAAAGCACCAGAGCTGCCTAAGCCTACAAGCCTCGATGAGAATGGCCACGTCCTCGGCGCTTTTGACATGCCCATAGAAGGCGGGTGCGAGGATGCTGGACCTGATCGCCGGTAGCGATACGGGTTTCAGTCGATTCCTGTGAGGATCATAGTCAATCAGAAAAGGGTTCCCTTGTCGGTTGGGTAGACTGACGGAAACTGTGTGAGGCTGGAGGGGGTCGGTCTGCGTGAGTGGATAGCGCTGGCTGAGTTGGTCGTATCGACATTCTGATCGCGGGGACGGGTAGGATAATGGGACCGCTGGAGGTGGATGAAGCCGATTAACCAGTGGGGACGAGGCTGAAGTCGCTCTTCCAAAGTACCCCTCCGTTCGCTGGTCTATGGCGTTACCCTCGTTTGGCCAGGAATGGGTGGTCTGGTTGTTCTCTTGGGGTTTCTTCTTAATTTTCCAATGTTCGTGTTGACAAGACAGCGGTGTACGGCGTCTCATGTGAGAGGAAATCGTTTTCCAGTCCGTCCCATACCGTCCGACTAACTGTAATAGACGATAGTCCTCTTCTCCAGTCCAGCGGCCCCCCATTGCTCACTTCGACCGAATACACTTAAATTCAAGGAATTCTCTCCCAAGACCTGGCTGGATCCAAGACCAAGAGTCCCTAAGAGCCCTCCTGCATTCAAGTTCCGGTTTGAGGCGACAGTAGAGTATGAGCGTGGCGGTCGGGGTAGTGGACTGACGAACACGCTTTCTGAAGAAGCCTGAGGAGAGGAATACTTAGTATTGGACCCAAAGGCATATGTTAGAAAGTTTGGATGAGAGATAATTAAGAAGAAGACTTTACGCCGCCTTTAAATGGCGGCCATAGCGGTCGTTATGCCTAGTCCAGCCAGGAGTCCAGGACGTCGGTCCCTTGCACTTTCCGTCTCCCACCGATAAACCCCCGTCTTTTTGGCCGTTATTAAGCCAAAGCATATGAAAGCCTCTCCCAAACAGGCAAATAGTCTTTGACATTACAACAAAAGACCTACGGCTCGACAGGTGCCGCCTAGCGACGGGTGCTAACGAAAACATCTCCGGGGGCAAAAGTTAACGTCCAACGAAGCAAGGTTCGAAAGCAGGAACCCCACAGGTAGAAGCGTAACGGCCGCTTTTCATCCGAGCGTCGCGGGCGACAGGCGAGGCGGGTTGCGGGGCCCGGAACGTGAGGAAGATAGCGACTTGCCGGAAGCGGATAATAAGTAATAAGTCCCTTCCCCCGCTACCTACGCCGATTCGTCCTAGTGAGACGGGGACACCGTCCTGGGGCCAAACGCCTCGCTAGTCGAAAGGTCGGTCGTAATTAAGGGTTACCCCTGCGGTGACAACCATCACCGTCACCACCTCGTCCCTGGGAAAGTCTCCTCTTTTTACGGAGTGCCCCTGTGCTCTTTCCACAAAGTCGGCTTGGTTATGAAGAGCTGCGACGATAACAATTCTCGCCAAGTGGTCCGGTTGGTCACCCCAATGAACCTTTCGGGGGCTGACGCTCTCTCGGTAGCCATCGACCGTCGACGACCACCGGAACAACCCGAGGCGATTGCGACGACAACGGTGCGGGTGGACTCAACAATGCGCTTACACTGGTGCGGAAGACCCAGGGTCTGGCGTCTTCATTGATCGGTGCCAGGGCACGGCTCGACTCCCCCTGGGAGCGTCTGCACCGTCGTGTTTGACTATCCTCCCAAAAACGGCAACCCGGGCAGTGTGACGACGCCCTGAGTAGTGTTGGTGCAACGCTACCTGCGTGGCAGGATTGACGAGAGATCTCCCTGTAGCCACCGCCATTTGTACGGAACCACGCAGTTACGCCACCTGAGAGGGGCCACAGGCGGTCGGACCAATACACACAGCTACCCAAGCATGACTAGCTCAACACGGTGATCTTGCTTGGCCACGGGATACCTCGAACTGCCCCTTCCCCGTAACCGGTGACCAGGTTCTCCCGTTGGAGATGACGGTTCCGTCACGCCAGAGAGTTTGTTTATGCTAGCGCGAATCCAAGCGGAGCGAAGGAAAGTGGGCCGTGACTAACTCAAAGTTTACCGCAAGTATCCTCGCCAATCCAGTCTGGCACTCCAGCACGCCTTCGACGCGGGCAGCATGGACTGAGAGCGTCAATCTAGGGCATCTAGTTTTTTTTTTGTTCATCCTTCTACTGGAGCGACGATACTTCCCTGCTTTTAAAATGCTACCTGCGTTCGGAAGTTGACGCACGAGGACTACAATTTATCGGGCATTTCGCGTCGGGCGCCTGTGACTCGTTCGTGCGGAGCGAGGCCTCAGATATCCCAGCCCAAACTCGTGGATGGATGGACCTGCCGTGGGTAGATCTAGTGCGACTATGGCAGGCCTTGGTAGACCATAGAAAGGTTTGGGAGAACCGTCGGGAGAGACAGTGTGATGAAAGTCCGTGGAACCGCGTAGGTAACACTAGCGCAACCAATGGCCCAGTAAATCCCATTATAAGAGATAGAGGTGAACTATGCCCAGTGTGCGGTACAAGCTACGTGGTCCGCTCGCATACAAAGTCGGGATCGGCTTCAATATCTTCACACGGATAGAGGGTCGCGCCGTTCTAGGATCAAGTAAAAGGAAGAGCAACCGACCAGTCAGTCTAGCCGTCGACCTCGTCGTCGACGGGGTGATAACATCTAGGGACGTGATCGGACGAGAGGATTTCCCCGGAAGGTAGAGTGAATGGGATTGTAGCAGGCAGCGAGTTGGGCCGTCTCGGGCAACGCAGTCGGGTCGCAACCACAGCGCAACAGCACATCATACAGAGCACCGCTTTACCCAGCGACAAATCCTTAGACTCTGCAAAGTCGATTTCCGTTTCCCGGGCCTAACAAGAGTAGAGTCATCTCCCGCGACTTGACCTCTCTTCACATCCGGCACACCGATCAATATATTTTGCTCGCAGTTCCAGTAACTAAATGCACTTGACGCCGTCTACTAACAACATTCTGGCCGGTACTATATCACCGTCTTCAATCAACATTCCATACATCGATCTTGGCCGGGACCGACTAAGAAGATTGGTGGCCCCATCTTGACCGCCACTGCTTTTTATCATCACGCGGACCGAAAGGGTCAATGATGAATCGACACGTCTGGCCGTGGCTGCCACCTCTCAGAGGTAGCCCGCGGGCCGCTGTGCGAATGCCCCTCCTTGGAGCCCGGCCCTAAGGAGACTAGGAGCGCCTTAGCAAAGGGTGTTTCCTCACCCCTGTCACCTGGAAGCGAATCACATCTTTAAGGCTCCTCCAAAGGGGGGGAGGGGACCGGTGACAGGATATGTCGTCCGGCGGACCCGGCAGACTTGTGGCTCAAAAGTGAAGAGTGGAGTCGGTTGCCTTGTGGTCGGTGGGTCTCATCGTGGTTCACATGGTTCGCAGTGAGAAACGGGGGCATGGTCACGGTATTGCCAGAGTGATCAAGACGATCTCGCGGCGCGTCTAGACCCCAAAGCCACGTCTCCAGGCCGAAACAAGGTCGATGTCTCGGGGACGACTCGTGGATGGAGGTGAATGGCATACATGGCGGCCCTGAAGATGGTCGACAAGGAACGTGTCGAGGTGTGTGGATACCCCGATTGAAGGTGTGGGACGAAGTTTTCAAGAGATGGTACGCCACAGACTCATGAGTCATTACTGATTCCACGTTTGATGGACCCACCTGGAATGTCTCTCGCGAGATGCCCGATCCACTTCGACTCTTCCTCCGCAAGGCTGTGTTATATCTTTTCGCCACCTATCCGTCAAATGAGAATACCCGAGTCCTCATTTGGCTTTGTGGCTTTAGGGCTCCACCACCCCTCCTTCTTTCTCTCAGGGTAGAACGAGGCATGTAGTTAGGCACTACGAGGGGGACATATGCCCGCCTTCACAGCCTCTCTGACTCGGCTGCGGAAGCCTCCGCGCATACCCCTGTGGAGATTGCAGGACCGCTATTCCGTGATCAAGAGTAACCCCTGCTCTCGAACACTCCAGAACGGAGTCCGTAGGCCACGCTCTCAATTTCTTGTTGTCGCGAGGCGGAGAACGGACGGGAGGGTGAACCTGTTTATGCCGGCGTTTCTTTTTCGGGCCACACAGCCCCGCTTCTTTTGCCCGCTCCGAGAAACGGCGTTTTGCTCATCTGAAAATCCATCAACGTTCACGCCGACGTATCCGAGCCTCTTCCATAACAAGGCGTCTATTTTTTGCGACCCCCGGTTGAACTCTGCGATCACCTATTGCCACCTACTATCTTCCGTTCAGGGCGTCCCACGCAACCCAGTGTCCCGGTCATACATATGATGGACTAGCTTCCCTAATCACAACGAAACTATTAAGACTGTGAACACACCCTCACCTTTCATCTAGATCTTCCTTCTTCCTACCCAATACCAATCTCAATGAGACCTGATCCCAATTATTTTGCTTCACATTCTATCTACCCGTCTCCTTCTTCTTGGCTTAGACTCAATATACCCATCGCCCACCACACATCGGAGTCAAAGCCACTGCTACACATCCGCCATGGGGAAAGGTCCGCTCCCGGATGAGGACTGGACCAAAATCTCGGACCTGGCGGAGAGACGGCGGATCCAAAACCGGATTGCTCAGGTAAATAATCCTCGTTGCTGGTGGTCGTCATTGTGCCCGATCCTGACACGCGGAAACAGCGAAACTATCGTAAGAAGCTCAAGCGAAGACTCGAAGATCTAGAGCGCCGTGCTGGGTCGTCTTCTGCCTCGCCAGAACAACAGCATTCGGAACTAGCTACCACTCCCGCCAAAGAGACTTCCCAGAAACAAACTCAATCCATGGCCCGCCAGCCTTCGAGATCAAGTGTGTCACACGAGGTGCCCAGAGCATCGCCAGAGATTTTTACCTTTGGATGACCACTCCTCACTCTTTGACGCTCCAGCTGGACGCCGTCTTTCAATCCATTCTCAGCCGGCATTTACCTTTTCGTCATACCCGCCGACCACAGCATATCTCCACTATGAGCACCAACAACACCCCGCGTATGACAACACGACCAGCCACTACTCGAGCTACCGATATCCCGTAGAGGTGACATCGTCGAGTCTGCCGCCGACGTTACCTACCATGGTGTCCTCAGCATACGGGAAGCAGGACCGCCTGTTTGGAGATGACGACATGTTAAGTCCATTCAGCATGAACTACGCCTCGCTGGCCGGTCTGCAAATGCCCTCGGACTAAGCATATTCAGGGGCCAATTCTCATGTAAATCCCACCGCTTTCCTCTCCCATTCACATTCCAGCCCACCCCGATTGAGTAGCAAAAAGAAACCCTCTCTCTGGCGGCTCAGTGCCCAACACCGGCTTCCAAGTTACCAAATTGCCCCGCTCAAATGCTGACTTCCTCTGGCTAGACACCACCGGTGACTTGATCCAAACTCGATGGATTTGGCCCACAACTCGCCCAACTCCTTTGATGTCCCGCTCCCGCCCGTCCCCTTTTCAGCTGTTTCCATTCCTCTATTCCAACCGCGGTGCCCACAAGTGCTATACAGGAAATCTCTATTTCCAATACCGCGGTTGCCACTTCACATTTCACTGGGAAGTGGATGCTTGCCCCCACACTAGGCGACGTCAAAGCTCGAGGAATCTGGTCGCCTCCGAATTGCCAAATTCCCGCTGCGCACCGTTGGCTCTACGATCTCGGGAATTGGTGTTGCCATCAAAACGGTAGCTTACGGTGTCGCTCAGCTCGGCGATGTCGTTTCTATGCGCAAAGCCTCGGAGTGGGTTCCGTGGGCTGACATCGCCATCGAGAAGAATGGCGAGACGAAGAAAATTGACTGGGCCGCGAAATTTGCGCAGGAGAACAAGGACCGAATGGCTCAGCTTGAGAAGACGGAGCGCTGGAACTGTGCGAAGTCGAAGGCTGCCACGGAGAAGTAGGGCGCGACGAAAGAATAGGACGATGACTCTATGGGGGACTCGAGCACATTGAGAGGGGGTGAGTGTGGGTATGGGAAAGAGAGCTCGTTTTGGGGGGCCGGGGGGGGGAGTGGTCAGAAGACGTTGCGGAGAACACAATTGGGTTTTTGTCGGGGTAAGTAGGTACGCCAATAAGGTCAGTTTAGCGGCCGACGCCGGAGAGCGACGGATGATGGGGAGGGCGCTTGGTCCTCGCTCAGAGGTCGAATAAGAACTGTATGGAGAGAGTGAAATTGAAATGTTCCCTTTAGTCTACATGACGAAAAGCCCCGGGCCTTCTCTCGGGTGACCCATTCCCGGAAGACGGTCAGGGTGGCCCTGCGCGCGTCAACTCGAAGATGGAAAGGGAAGATGCGGAAAGGAGAAGGCCAGCGAAGACCAAAAGATAAGGGGTTTACGTGTGCGAATGGTGGAGGGGACGTGAATGACCGCCAAAATGATGAGATGCGCATACCTACGAGAACACCATACTATAAGTAGGAGACGGCTGGACACCTATTACTTGAGATGTAAATGTCATAATCTCATCGGTGGCGACTGAGATCAGATCACAGGCGGTGCCTGAAATAGACGATACCTTCTATTATTTCCTCCCTCCTCCCTCCAAAATAGTGAAGTTGCTCTAAGCTGGGAAATTTCACAGTCCGCCTCCAGTCCGGCGGGATGCTCTATAAGTTTCATCGCGACGTTTCTAAGAATAATCACTCTAACGACCGCGAGAACAGGGTTAGCCCGCATAGTCTAGGGCTGTACGATTACTCCCTCTCCCACCAGAAAAGGGTTATGAGTTAGGTCTTCACTTCCTCTATCGAGATTTGGTGAGTAGATTCGGTGAGCAGATTCGGTGAGCAGATTCGGTGAGCAGATTTGGTGAGTAGATTCGGTGAGCAGATTCGGTGAGCGGATTTGGTGAGTAGATTTGGCGAGTAGATTTGGCGAGTAGATTTGGTGAGTAGATTTGGTGAGTAGATTTGGTGAGTGGATTTGGCGAGTAGATTCGGTGAGTAGACTTGGCGACGTAGATTATTCCAGTGATCTATAGAGAAACTGATGGGACGTCGCCAGTTCACGATATGATTATTCAGTGTACCTGCTCTCTCTCGCCCTCTCTCCCTCCCCTCCAAGTGTGTAACCTGTCCTTCGGTTATAGTACAAGTCTCGCGCCGAAGAGACGGACAAAATTCAAAGCCTATCCCGCCTCCGGATGTCAGCATAGTCATTTTCTCCGCCCGATCGCCGAGAGGCCTGCAAGATCTCTTTACAAGTCACCCTATCATCAAGCGATGGGCAATCGCGGATAGGCTACCGTCGCCAACGAGGTCTTCGACAAAGCTCCGAAATTATGTTATAAATTGAAGATGGTCACTAATTCGTCCTTCATCCTTCATCTAGGCCAGTCTGGCGAGTGATGGTGTGCCCGCCTGCCTCGAACTTCGGCACCTACAAGGTACGACCTTGACGAGGGGTCACCCCGTGGTCCGCGAAAGAGTGCCCTTAGCAGTGCCATCAATTGGAGAGGCTCCTCGGAGGGGCGGCCGATTTGAATCTCCCGCCGGCTGTGGGTGACCAACTATTGTCAAGAGGACATTCTAGCGTACGACTTTGGCCGCTTAGCTGACCGTATGAAATTGGCTTCTGGCTTGCTCGCGCAACCACACTGGGGGCGAGGGGTGCGGACAACGTCGGTGGGGAAATCAAGAACAGCATGTCCGCGGGCTCGAGCGCGGTACAATTCGATTTTATCCATCTCGCGGTCGGCAAGATCGGGGACCAGCAATGATGATAGAGTTATGTGCACTTGTGGCTTTACATAGGGTTGCTGAGGCACTAGCGATCTGTCCCGCTTACCCGAAGGGCCAATCGAGGACGGAGACATCATCGATCGATGAAGGCCCCTCCTTCTTTCCCTCGGGTTCTTCTGATCTACGTAGCGCGTACTGGAACGCTCCGGTCAGCTTCGCCAGAGAGTAAAAGCTCTGCGTAATCCGACCACGAAACTAGGGACAGCTGGCTCACAGCCTCCCTGACAGAGCACCTCATGTGGAGTCTCAGCTGGTCGGGGCACGGCAAGGAACGAGGGAAATTCTCGGTTAAAGACGGGTCCAATGAGTTAGTCGTAGCTAGAGAGACGATAAGCTTTAAAATTAGTCAGGCACACTCTAACAAGCACCCCTGAATTGTACTGTACATGCCTGTGGCGGCCTGTGGCGGCCTGTGGCGGCCTGTTGCCTTACGGCTGCCTTGCGCTTTGCTGGAGCCTTACTAGCTGGAAACCGCAAAAATCATCCCCGGTGCGGGCTCCCGCGGCGCGGAGGCGAACGCTAAATCTCCCTGCCGGAGTCCATAGTTACTATATCCACCGCCTAGTCCGTTATGGGTTACCGCCTTTTGGGTACCTCTAACAGGACTAATTCGCCATATCTACGTGGGAAATTGTGATTCGCCTTCCCGGGATTTACACATACCTCCAGGTCCCCTAACCGAGACATCGATCTTTAACTCAGGTAATTGACAATCCTCCCGGTATTCCAACAGCCTCGAGGTGGCGACCACTTGGAAAGGCTTCCCCCTCCCTCGCGTGCCTTCCTAGGTACTTTCCCGAATAGCTCGGCCGCGATTACCGCCAATCGTATATTCTCCGTCGCGTAGTGTCCCCGGCATGGTTCGACGGTCCGGGGCGAGAAGGCCGAATCTAGCTGAGAGAGGCTTGCGCGTGAAGAAGGTGCCGGGAGACGGTACGCTCCACGCTCTCTCACTTTCAAGGGTTGCGGTGCTCTAACCTATGATAGGCAATTGTCTATTTGCAGCTCTTTCAGACAAACTCTGCGGCAGTCCGATATGCCACACCCAAATACGTGCAACCGTCGTGAGCCACTTGCGGCAGAACCGGCAACATTTTGCCTCATTTGTAGAGGAGGATGAACCACAACGACGACGGACCCTTCGATCTACTACGTCGGCAGCTTGTCAAGAACCAAAAGATAGGTTTGAGAAATATCTGTCTAGCATGTCACTCTCGGGAACCTCTGGCGGACACCTTGAACTGCAGGCGTTCTGCGACGCCTTCGCCCGAATGGTTATAGTGTACGACACGTCTACCAAGAAGTCTGGCGGGGACGAAATTACGGAACGAGTCTTCACCCCTCAAGTGGGAGATACCGCCGTCGTCAAGTCGTCGCTTCGCATCGTTTTTAGTGGAGATGGGGAAAAGGAGGGACACTATGACTCGACCCAAAGCGAAAATGGAGGGGGCGAGATAGAGGAGCCTCTTCATCACTCTGCGTACACTCGGGCTTGAAAAGATCGTTGGATGGTGAAGAACTTAATTTTGTGAGCGAGAAAATGGACTGGAGAAATGGACTCACACAGAACAAGAGATGTCTCCACACAAAGAGTCGTCTCCGCCAACCTCGACGAAAGTCACGGAGACTACAGTGTAAGCTAAAAAGCATAAGAAGGTGGTAGTGAATAATCGGATGAACGCGATTCTAGCGTCCCTAACGCTGTATACTGTTGGGGTAGATCCGGATCTGGGGTTGTTGAGTGAGGTCCAAGTTGATCCTTGGGGTCTAATACATTGAATTCGTCCACTCATCCCCCCACCCCTCCCCCACCTTCTCTGATCTGCCGCTCTGCCGTCCCCCCGGTCTTACGATCATGGCTCGCTGTATTGGCCTATTTGGGATGTAATCGACACGCTGACACTGCACACCACCTTGACCTGCCGGTCACCTCCCCGTCCGATCCGGCTATGTTGAGATATCCATAGCTATGACATCTCTAGCTCTTGTCGGGGTCCTTTCTGCAACCTCCTGGCTTAGCTCGGTCCGATTCGAGACTCGGATTTGTTCTTGGAAGGGGGGTTGATGATGGATACTAGACGCTATGCATAAAGAGTCGTCGCTCACGGTGCTTGAACTGTAGGTATCCATATCGAAGCTCGGGCCTTGAGGCGGATGGTGTAACGCTGCACATCCAAGACGACGTAGCTGTCGGTCGAAATTGTTCCATCGTGCGAGGTTATACGGGGGCGTTTGATCAACCTTGTCGTAGGGAAGGAAAATCCCCCGGAGGAGGTCGATCTTAACTGAGCCGGTGAGGCGGACTGTCGGCCAACGTAGGTCCACCATCCAACGTATAGTAAATGCCTATCATCTTATTGACTAGGACCGTAGAACTATTGAGGGGACCCTTACGTCTTGCCCTATACCTAAAATGTAGGTGTGACCCCCGGCAGAGAACGGCGAAATTGAATAATGTGAAATGACCGTATGGGTCTACCCCGAGTAGATACATAGGTGTCCCGTCTGTCTCTCGTTTTCGGCGAGTTTCTGTCCTGTTTACGTAGACCTTGGCTAACCTTAACCCAACCCTAACCCGAGCACATTCCCGACCTAGGCGTTTCCCGGCGACGTTGTCAATGACGCCGTCGATCGACCTACCCACCAACCTAGTCTGATCCTCAATCGGTCTCCTAGAGAGCCTCCTAGATAAATACATCACCAGTATGGGCCATCCCAACCACGTCCCTAGTTCCTTGTCCATCCCGACTCGAGATTGATTACAGATATTCAGGCGGACCCGATATTCCCAACGAAAGGTAGAAAGGGGAAGAATCCTCAGCCACGGTCGGATGGGACGTGGCCATTTCGGCTGTGGTCCCCGAATACCACTTTTTTGTCTTTGTACCGAGGATTGCGAGGGGACCGGAGCCTTTGTCCGCTGCGGTATTGATTCAAAGATCGGAGTCAATGTTTGATGTGAGCCTGGGTGTGCCGCGGACCCGCGGTGTCTGTGTCATGTCTTTGCGTTTTTTCTCGCGGCCACTGACGTGCTTCAATGTGGCGGGATCCCGAGAAAGACCTATCGCCCGGGGAGATTCGCTTGATCTCTTCTCATCAGATCGCCATTTTTTGACTTTCCGCTGAAGCTGGTGTTCTGTGACGAAAATTTGCTGCGACTTGAGTTCCCTTCGGATGTTGGCAACTGACAAGGCCAAGTACGGCAACACCTGAGCTCTGATTTTATCCCAGGCTTCTTTTGGGATTCTCTTTCCGTAGCGGGTAGTGTTTGGATCAAACTCAATGATATTCAGGTCCTGTCGCGCTTTCGTCATGGTCGGCGACGTAACAACCCATCGACTGTACGAACAGTCCGCCTGGCGTATATTCCGAGGGGAAGACCTTCGACACCTTTTACTGAGGACATGGTTGAACAAGTAGGACGAGAGGGCGAAGTAGTCACCCTCCCGAGGAGAAAAAGAGAGACGGTCGCCGTGTCTGCTAATTGGTTCGACGTCGAGGAGGGGCCTCAACCGTGGCGTCTATGAGGATTTCCCGAATCGGCTTACTGCGACAGCCTGACTGTAGTTGCCATGAGAGTGAGCCCTTGAGACGGGACGTGGCCTTGCCTTGTGGAGAAGGTTACCAATCGCATTTGTTATGTCGGTTCAAGAAGCAGGGGCCGACCACAACGAATGCAAGAGCGACACCTAGCGCGGATAACGAGATGCCTCGACCGTGAAGCACAGACTGACATGCCCTTGTCGGTATATGACCTGATGGTAACCTCTGTCGTGATGTGAGCAGGCTGAGACCGGTCCGAACATTTCTGAAGTGCCTACGAGCTATCACGAAAACGCTGGGCTACGCACTAGTTGTGATGCTCCCACGATGGCATGAGCAGTATCATTTTTTTCCCCCTCTTTTGCTTTTCCTTTCCTCCCTTTCTCTCGTCTTTTCTTTTTGGGTCTTAGGCGCAGAGATTCGCTAGCGACGTTGGATAAATAATTGGTATAGCCCCCGGGTGGTGGGCCCTATGGGGGTAAATTGGCCCCCCGTTCTGACACCCCGATTGGGTGAATGACCAACCCTCGCCGTCGCGAGCGGGTGGTAGGCTTATTTGGTATTGGTCCTCCGTACATACCCTGCTTTTATCAGCCGAAACTAAGGAAGTTTAGCCAGTTCTCTCTGACGCACCGTCTAAGCCGCAAAGGGAAATCCTGATTGTGGCTTGTCGGGGCATGGAAGTCTCAGACGATTTCTAGTTTTGGCGATGGGCAGTTCCGAGTCCGGTAAATCTCAAGGGCTCTCTCTTTTTTTCCCGCACCATCGGTCACAGTCTCGCAGCCAGAACGTCAACAGGATCCCCAATGGAAGTGCTATCGATGGTTAACGGTCCACTACTACACTACGAAACCGGCGAGATTGATGGCGGTGTACGAGGTCAGTTCCCCAGAGTTTTCAGGCAGCAGCCTATCTCGTGTGGTATAGTAGAAGGCATCTTTATCCCCTTTTGCGTGTCTGCCTTTTTCTTTACTCCCTTTCCCTCCTTCCCCATCGTCATGCTTTTCGAATCAAGGGAGAGGGCCACGCGGCCTCGAGCGTCACATGATGAACATCGACGGGGCTTGTGACTGAATGACACGATGGGGTCGGGCATTACAGATAAGCAAAAAAGTCGTTCAAACGACTCAATTCTAGAATCATTTGAGCCGTATTAATACTTATGTCACAGCCTCTTCGGTGACTGGACCAGTCGAGAGGTGGAATGGGTGTCACGCGACGCGTACAAAGTAGAAGGCCCTTCCTTCGGACGATGCTCGGAGAACTCCTCTAAGTATTATCTACTCGGACTTCCGCACAGCGGCCAGACAGTGGCTGGACATCTTGTATATAGGTTCTCCCGGCCCCGTATGAATCTGCCGCGTTCCTCCATCGAGACAGAGTGCGAGCCCGGTGAACCTCCAAAAGTGGGCATAACGAAAAGCGTTAGTTGGTTAACCATAGCGGAAAGGGAATTTCTCTCTCCCCCATATTTAAACAGTATGTGACAATCCGATGTATTGGCCTTCAAACGTAATCCTAAGCGCCTTAGCTGTGATTTCGCCGACGTCGACGTGCTCTCTCCCAGTCTGAGGGAAGCTGGCGGAGGTTTGCCTCTCAAAATCTATGGTGATGGAGCCGGTGCCGGTCCGGCGGCGAGTGCGACACGGAGACCTGTCGGCTTGGTGAGATGAATGGACAGCAATCGTCTGTCCCCGGAGAGAGATCCGGCTATCGCTTCTTTCGTCGGGTTCCCTCACTCCCGTTGACGTAGACGTTTGGCCTGCGTTGAGAGGGTTGCCGCCCAACGTCTCCTATCGTCGTCAGGGGCGGCGAAGGTCGCCCTGTAGTGAACCACGTCCCTGGTACTCTCGTACCGGTCCGGTGCTCGATCGGTCTCCCGGCGCACTTGCCAGTACATCTAGTCTGCCGCTTGTGGCCCTCCTAACAAGCCAACGCTCTCAGCATCCTCGTTTCCTCCGCTACGGAGAGGATGACATCCTGCCACGGGGGATGCGAGAAAGACCGCCGCTATGTTAGTGACACGCATAAGTGAGCCTTGAACCTTTCGCCCCCGATCCAAGTCCCTACACCACTCGGCCAATATCAATTTAATCTGGAAATCAGGTGGAGGTGTGTGGCCGGGATGCCCACTCGCGCCCGGGTTGAGCAACGATAACTGCAGCGCCGTGAACATTCGTGGCACTCCCGGCGAGTTCGTCGAACACGTCCTCTTGACCCAGAGCCGAAGATGCCGCAAACAGTGCGTGAAAATCACCACAGGGGGGGGCCAAGTTGGTTGATCGCAATGGGGACAAATTTACCTACCTGTACCTCGTCCAAGGACTAGTGGTAGGGTGAGGTGGGTGCCGCAATGGCGGCGCGCGGCCAACCTTCCAAATAGGGCTAAGGTGGCGGGCCGTCGGTCCAGGCCACGCTCCCCTCATCCTCCAGGGTCCCAAAACCCATCGCAGCTTCCGCAATTAAGCCCTTCACTTTTTTCAGCGGGGGGTCGCGCTATTTTCAACGGGGGTCGCGCTATGTCCACGACTCTTCTCCTGGACGAAGTCTTCCTTGCCGGCGCCAAAATGACTAATGTCTTGGAAGGGGGCGTCCGAGAGCGACGACAAAGCCGTGCGGCACGGCGCATTTTCTCTTGGATGTGATGCCCACCAACAGTCGGCCAGACACTATTATCTGCGACCACCAACTTGACCCGTTGACTCTAATTACAGGTGATCGGGCTCGCTAATCACCGTTCGCGGCCGTAAGCTGCTCCGCCT